CCCAATTGTCCTCTTTTACCAGCTGAGCTAGTGGTGCTAGCCTCTCTGAATATCTTGGGCATAGCTGGGTAAGGAGCATAAACGGCTCTCACTGCTGTACAGTCTGTGGAGCCATGCTCCAGACAGATGACGGTCACGACCTGTGTCCTGCCTGCCTTGGACATGACCATCTGGTGGATGCCCTGTCAGAGAACCCCTGCATGAATTGCAGCTTCATGTCGCATGCTGTGAGGGTGGCCCGGCTGGCCCAGTTTCGCCCCAAACTCGGCGATGACCTCCCGCCTTCTGGGCAGGAGGCTCCACCTAGGCGCTCGAAGCGCCGGACTGAGGCCGCAGTCTCTGTGGCCCCTCCTGGGAAGAAGCGAGCCAGGTCTGATAGGGGCCTCTCCACAAGGGTGGAGCAGCTCTCCGCTGAATTAGCGGAGATGAAGTCCCTTTTTCAGGTACGCCAACTGGGAACTGAACCAGTGGCAGCAACCGGACTCTCCTCCCCACCCATGCCTGAACTGGCTGTGGAGGAAGATGTGCTATCCTTGGCTGCCTCTGCCTCTCACTTTTTAGGTGAGGAGGACGGGCATTCATCTCGAGTCTCAGAGACAGCTTCACTCTCTTATTCTCGGAGTGCAGTTAGTGGGTCGGGTGACGGCTCGATGCAGGACGTCATGCGTATGGCCCTGAGACAACTGCAGCTGGACGTCCCGCAACCAGAGGCGTCCACCCCTGGAAGTGCCTTCTTCAGGCGCGGACTGACCCCTCCTTCCTTTTATGTCCCTCCATCAGAGGAGTTCCTGAGGGAGTTGCATGGTTGCTGGCGGGACCCCAAAGCCTTTCCGCGCCTCTCTGCAGATGGCAGAGTGTTGGCGGCCATGCATGAGCCGGCTGCAGCAGGCTTGGATCGCATGCCAGCGATAGAACCTGCTGTTGCCTCTCTCATCGTGTCACCAGAAGAAGCTCTGCGCAGTCGTGTTCGGTGCCCACGAGCTCAGTGTTGTGTCACGGATGAATTCCTCTGCAGAGCCTATGCCGCCGGAGCGCGTGCTGGCCGCCTAGGTAATTCCTTGGCACACCTAATGCTTGCCCTCTCCGCGTCCCTTCAGGGGACTAGTGGTGCGACAGCAGCAATGGGCTTTAACGATGCAGCGCTTCAGGCCTTTGCACTAATGACGAGGGAGCTTGGGCGCGTGATGTCCTCCTTGGTCCAAGCTCGCCGACAGGTCTGGTTGGCGCAGTCAGCATTGACTGAGCCATGCCGTAGAGCCCTCCGTAATGTCCCAGTGGTGCCGGGGGAGTTGTTCGGTTTGGCTGCCTTGGAAGCACTGGAACGGACTGTCCAGGCACGACAGAGAAGGCAGCAATTTTTGAGCCTTAGCAGGCCAATGCCCCCTCCACCTCCTCGGCATCCAAGGCGCCTGTCGGCTGGCTCCAGCATGTAGCCACCGCCTGGTGGTCATAACCGGCCGGGTGGTCCTTACCCTCATGCGGTTCAGCAAAGGCCCAGCAGGAGCTTTCGTGGGTCGGTCCACCGACCAGCTGGGCAGGCTCGGACCAGGGACTCAGGCTGCCGCCCCCCCACGGCCCCTAAGGGCCATGAAGGGAGACGGTGATGCCATCAGGCCGACCGTTGGATATTTCTCCCACCAGCAGCTCAGCTGATCCCTTCCCAGACGACCACCTTTATTGGGGTGGTTCTGGATTCATCTTCCATGAGAGCTTGCCCATCCGCTCAAAGGGTGGCCGGCATACTCCAGCTGGTCAATCGGTTCAGGCTGGGCAGGCAGCTCCCCTATGTTGCCTTCCTGCAACTACTCGGCAAGCTGACATCAGTCACTCGGGTGGTGCCCTTAGGCCTGCTGTCACTTCGCCCCTTGCAGAGGTGGCTCAACAGCTTTCGCCTGGATGCCAGGCTGCACAGGCATCGCAAGCTCGCAGTGACGTGGTCATGTCTTCATGCCTTGACTCCATGGAGGGACAGAGATTATTTGTCCAGGGGTGTCCCCATGGGAGTGGTAGTGTGTCGCAGGGAAGTGATCACGACAGATGCCAGCTCCATGGGATGGGGGGCTGTATGGCAACGCAGAGCGGTTCAGGGCCGCTGGGGTCAAAGAGACCATTCCAAGCATATAAATGTGCTGGAGCTGCGTGCAGTGCACTTGGCACTCAGGCACTTCCTGCCTCACTTGGAAGGGAGGCATGTACTTGTTCGGTCAGACAACACCTCTGTTGTCTACCACATCAACCTTCAGGGGGGCACCAGGTCAGCACAACTTCTGAGAGTGTCCAGAGAGCTCCTGGAATGGGCCTCTCCTCGCCTGTCCACCCTGCGGGCAGCGTACTTGCCAGGGCGACACAATCAGGTCGCAGATTTTCTCTCCCGCCAAGAGTCCCCTCCGGGAGAGTGGTCCCTCCACAGCGACATAGTGCTGATGATCTGGGACCGTTTTGGTCAGACAGAGATAGACCTGTTTGCGATGGAAGAGTCAACTCAGTGTCCCCTATGGTACTCTCTTACGGGGGCGCTAGGCCAGGACGCATTGGCTCATCCTTGGCCAAGGGTCCTTCTATATGCCTTTCCACCCCTTTCTCTAATTTGGCCAACCCTTCAGAGAGTCCTCAAGGAGGGCCACAGGATGCTGCTGGTGGCTCCGTATTGCCCAGCACGACCATGGTTCCCACTGCTACGAAGTCTATGTCAGGGCGTCCCATGGTGTCTTCCGACCAGAAGGGACTTGCTGTCTCAGTTGGGGGGACTGATATGGCACCCCAATCCTCAACGTCTTCGGCTGTGGGTGTGGCCACTGCAAGGCTAGGACAGCAGCTGACTGGAGTTTCGAGCCTCGTCAGACGCACCATCCTGGGCGCCAGGGCACCCTCTACTCGTCAGCAGTACGAAAACAGGTGGCGCCTGTTTTTCCAATGGTGTTCGGATCACAACAAGGATCCAGTCTCCTGTACAATACCCACCATTCTGGAGTTTCTCCAGTCTCTACTTGGTAAGGGTCGCTGTCCTTCGACGCTTAAAGTTTATGTAGCGGCAATATCATCTAATCACGCTGGCATTGATGGCTGTACGGTAGGAAGCCATAATCTAGTCTCTCTTTTTCTGCGTGGTGCCCGTAGGTCACACCCGCCGACAGCTCCACGAGCACCAGGTTGGGACCTTCCCTTGGTTCTCGAAGCTCTGTGCCGTCCTCCTTTCGAGCCTCTGTCGCAGGCGGACCTCAAGTGGCTTTCATGTAAGACGGATTTTTTGTTGGCCATTACCTCAGCAAAGAGGGTCAGCGAGCTACATGCTCTCTCAATCAGCCCCTCATGTCTCAGGTGGGGCCCTGAGGGCTCGTGTGTTAGCTTGTGGCCAAACATCGCATTCGTACCAAAGGTGTTATCTCACTCTAACCAACCGTTGAGGCTGGCACGTTTTCAGTCTGCGCCTGGTGAGGGGTCTGCATTATTGTGCCCGGTGAGGGCACTGGAGGCATACTGCCGTGATAAGACATTCAGACCAGCTATTTGTGTGTTATGGAGGCCCTAGGTTAGGCTGTCCTCTTTCCAAACAGCGCCTCTCCCACTGGATCGTGGACGTCATCTGCCACACCAATGCTGCAGGGCCCGGCCCCCTGCCGGTCGGCTTGAAGGCTCACTCTACCAGGAGCGTCTCCGCTTCCTGGGCTGCCCTGAGAGGGGTTCCGCTGGAAGCAATATGTGCTGCCGCATCATGGGCTTCCCCAAGCACGTTCACCAGATTTTATAGAGTTAACGTGGCCACCCCTCATCCCCTGGGCCAAATTCTTCTACAAGGGTCCTCTGGGCCTCCTCAGTGAGGTAGGTGTTTAGGATTCCTTGTGACATCGTTGGTATTAGTCATTCAGTGCTTTCAGCACCGCCCTCTGGCGGTCAGGAGGGATGAAATAGAACGAAAGTTACGTATGTAACTACGGTTCTATGAATCCCGGATGACCGCCAGAGCTTCTCCATCACTCAGAATCCTTGCGTTCCGCGAGAAGATTCTGTAGGAGCAGAGCAGCGGATGACGTCGGGCTATATAGCCTCTGATTGGTCATCCGTGTCACACCTGTGACTCCGTTGGTATTATTACTCGAATCAGCGCATGCGCGAAGGGAACATTCAGTGCTTTCAGCACCGCCCTCTGGCGGTCATCCGGGATTGATAGAACCGTAGTTACATACGTAACTTTCGTTTTACAGATAGTGAGCTCCATTTGGTGAGGTAGTAGCTGAGAGTCATCCAAACACACACCCCAAGGATGACGTCTTGCATCAGACTTCACGGGTCAATCGTTAGGATTTGTGTTTCACATCTGGCCGGTGGTAAACCTTTAGAGACGATCGACCATCGGGGCGGTCGAACTAAAACCCTTTAAAAACAAAACGGTCAGACGGGTTTAAAACGCATCACGGGGCGTTTAATGTCGACTATGTAAACCGTTTAGTCAGTAAAAAGTCTTCGTGTTGCCTTCAGGTACATAGAGGCTCTGACTGTTTCCATTTGTTCACATGTTTAAACCAAATTGATCTAAAATGACAGTTTTCTGACATCATTAAATTTACTGACAGAAAAAAACGAGTAAAACTGGAGAAATGTCACTTCCTACAGGAACGAAGCGTGAACGCTTCCTGCTGGACAGTTTTAGCTGAAATCTGTTGAAGAAGCTGAAACTCTGAGGCTGAAAAGTTTCACAGCTGAACGGTTAAATCTGAACAGCTGACTGAAAACAAGAAACATGGTTTTCAATGAGAAAAACATGGCCGACAAAGCTAGATGTTTCAAAAAGTCACAGCAGGAACGTCCTGAACGAGCCGAAGGTTTCGATCTGGGAATCGTTGGAACAGAGCAAGAGTTGCGTGTTGAAAACTGGATCTGGAGAGCGGTTCTGGCCCTTGGGACTGGTTGTTCACTTGAAGTGGACGTTTGTGAAAGTCCAGGAGCCGATGATGATCTGAGTTTTCTGTCTTCAGTCTTCAGAGCGAAACACCATCGAGGAGGTTGTGAAGACGAATCCCGACAAACTGGACAACATCGTGGACGAGATGAAGCAGATCCTGACTCCGATGGCCCAGAAGTAAGACCCGTTCTGCCTCCGAGTCACATTAAAGCCTTTTCCTGACGTGGTCCTCGTTGTGTCTCAGGGAGCAGGTGATCAAGCACTCGCTGGTCCACAAAGTCTTCCTGGACTTCTTCCTGTTCTCGCCCAGCAAGCAGAGATCTGTGAGTTCCTCCTGCGGATGTTGACTAACGCCCGCTTGGCGTCAGACTCACGCTTCTTCTGTGTCTCTGTTTGGAGCAGGAGATGATCGAGTCCATCCGGGAGTCCGTCGTCTACATGGCTCACACGCACGACGGCGCTCGGGTGGCCATGAACTGTCTGTGGCACGGCACGGCCAAGGTTCCACACACAGTCCAGATGTTCTTTGTGTTCTGCACACGAGTCCAGCGTCCGCCTCGGTCCAGCGCTCCGGCTCGTCTCGTGAGCGGGACGACTTGAAGAATACGTGAGGCACCAGCTTCCATACTGGTGCACGTCGGCGTAAGGACGATCCAAAACTGGGTTGCCTCGTCAAAGATAGCCGCCGCAAACCCACCGCCTCAATCGTTAGAGGGAACTCCGCTTTCGAGTTTTTATTTTGCTTAAAATTATAGTTTTCCCAAATTATTAGGGTGGCTGAAGATTAATCTGGTGGTCAAGGCCACCACTGGCTCCCCCCTGGCTCCTCCCTCCAGGATCCGTCACTCTGCTGTTCTTCTCCACCAAAACATTTACGTTCATGTCGTCCTCTGTTCAGTTCCAGTCCAGAGAAACACTCGCTGTTCGGACCCGTCAGCGCCAGCGGACGTCGGGGAACAGATCGGGGATCATGGAACAGATCGGGGAACAGGGAACAGATCGAGGAACAGGGAACAGATCGGGGATCAGGGAACAGATTGAGGAATAGATTGGGGATCAGGGAACAGATTGAGGAACAGATCGAGGAATAGATCGGGGATCAGGGAACAGATTGAGGAATAGATTGGGGATCAGGGAACAGATTGAGGAACAGATCGGGGAACAGGGAACAGATCGAGGAACAGGGAACAGATCGGGGATCAGGGAACAGATTGAGGAATAGATCGGGGATCAGGGAACAGATTGAGGAACAGATCGAGGATCAGGGAACAGATTGAGGAATAGATCAGGGATCAGGGAACAGATTGAGGAACAGATCGAGGATCAGGGAACAGATTGAGGAATAGATCGGGGATCAGGGAACAGATCGGGGAACAGATCAGGGAACAGATCAAGGAACAGATCAAGGAACAAATCGTTAAAATCTGCTCGACTTCATGAAAACATTAAATTAGTTTTTAACGGGAGCGGCGCAGTTCAGTTGTTACTTCCTGTTTCAGGTGAACCGTTAAATAAACCGTTCAACCGTCACACCATAACAACTTCTAGTTTAAAACATAAACTAGTTTAAATTAGTTAAACTAGTTTAAATCAGATTGACAAGGTTAAACCTTAAACAAATTTGTTCCTATAATAAATATTTTAATGAAGAAACAAATTAATTCTAGAAAGAACCGACGTCCTTCCAGCTAATTGAAAATATAATTTTTAATAAGTTGATGAAAACCTGCTTTTATCAGTAAAATTGAAAAAGTCTAAATTAAACATCTGGATTAAGAAACGCTTCGAATGTGTTGGAAGTCGTCGTGTTTCCACAACTGGACCGAACCTTAAACACTTCAAACATGTTTTACTTTTATTTTCCACGTATATTAGTTTTTAACCCAAATATTTTTATTGAGATTTTTCACTTTGAAAATAATCGTACCAAACTGAACAAGCTTCTTTTTAAAATTTTTTATTTCTTCATGACAGTAGCATCAATCTATAAGCCCAGTTTTGGGGCTTCAACTAATCTAAGTTGAAGAAAAAATAAATAAAAAGTTTAATATCTCTCCCCCCCCCAAAAAAAAAGTAATAATAAAAATAAAAAAAGACCTTGTCAAAAACAACAGGGTCCCTGGACGTGATCAACAGGTTCCAGATGATCAGGAGTTCAACCAAACGTCTGATTCATCTTTAATAAAGTTCATGAAAAGATCAAACCTTCTCTAAAACATGTTGGATTTCCTGCTTTTCTTTCCAGTGGAAAATGAGACGGCACCAGTTTGAACCACTGGGTGGTGCTGGGTCTGCTCCAGACCACAGCTGCACTAGTTTTACTAAAACGATGCTTGTCAGGAGCTGAAAGGAGCAGATGTTTCAACCTGTTCCACATGTTGAAGCTGATGTTTCGTCTTCTGTTCCTGGACCGTCGTCTTCCTGCTGCAGCAGGAAACGAGCAGAGACGGTCCTGAAGACGATCGTCTCACGTGGTTTTAGTTCCTCTGCAGCGTCGCTGTAAAATCTTGATTTGTCTGTTTGGAAGCGGCGCCGCCTCGTTTGGACCCGTCTGTGCAGAACACGGATCTCTAAAAGATCAGACTCATCGTTTGTCTTCAGTAATTAAATATTCTTCCTCCGTGCTTCAGGACAGAAAGATCATCATAAAAACCATGAAGTCCTACATGGTGAAGTTCTCCACGGTGAGTCCGCGCCTCAGACCTCAGTCGTTAAATTCTGACCCGTCGGACTCACGGGCCGTTCTGTCCTCAGGGGGAGTTCGGCCACCTCGTCCTTCTGGCGATATTTGACTGCGTGGACGACACCAAGCTGGTCCGGCAGGCCGTCCTCTCTGTAAGTTCAGGGTTTTCAGGCGGGACTGACAGAAGCCCAGCTGGTACAAACTGACCCGGTCTCATCCGTTCAGGAGATCCTGTCGTCGCTGAACGACGTCATCTGCAACAAATACGGGAAGAAGGTTCTGCTGTACCTGCTGAGCCCCAGAGACCCGGCTCACCTGCTGCCGGAGACCGTCCGGCTGCTGGAGCGAGGAGACGACAACGCTCACAGGTAAACGGTTAAGAGCGCAGCTCCTCGGGGCTCCTCAGGGAACCCGTCGGATCTAAAATTAGACGTCGGTGTTTGAAAAGTTGGGTTCTTCTTTCTCGTCAGTAAAAAGGACGCCGCGACTCGAAGGAAGGAGCTGCTGGAGGCCGTGTCCCCGGCGCTGCTCGAGTACCTCTCCGACAACGCTGCCTCCATGGCCATGGACAAGGCCACCAGCGTCACCATCAGTGACATTTTGGCATCCGCCTGCGGGGACCTGCGGCCCGCCATGACAGCTGTGGCTCAGCTGGCCAATCAGGAGCTGGTGCCGGGAGGGGTCAAAGGACAGGTGAGTTGTTCAACGTTGAACGTGCAGGATGGTGGATGGACTCGGACTGAAACGTTTCTGCTGCAGCTTCACATGGCCGAACATCCAGCAGGACATCTGGTCTTAAAGTGGCTCATAGAGCAGGACGCCATGTTGGAGGAGGCTGGGAAGGAAGGTAAGCGCTCGAACGTTACGCTGATGATGCTCCTGCACGTTTCCTTGTTGACTGGTTCGTCTGGGCCTCCACAGAGCGGTTCGGCAGGATTCTGGTGGACACAGTTGGGACAGAGAAGATGACGAGCTGGGTGAAGGTCAACAGAGGCGCCATGGTGCTCTGCAGGTGATTCCATAAATCTGTTGATTTAAATTCATGGTGCTGCTGAGTCCAGTCTGGTGACACAACTCAGGATTTATATGGGGGTCCGTGCAAAAACCGAGCGTGCACAGTACTACCCAACAAAGACCCTCAGGAGGGAGAGTGATTTGCATGTGAGGGCGGCTCACTGCACTTTTTTTTTCTTGAAACTTTTTTGTTTCTGTTGAATTGTGAGAAGCAAAATGTAAACAAGAAAAAAGGTTAAATCAGCTCATCTGGACGGGTTCTTTTTGGGAGAAATGTTTCGTCTTTCATCCGAAGGACTTCATCAGTCTGAGGCCTGCCACCAAGATCCGTCTATAAATGTCACTCCTTGTCGTGTTTCCAACCAGTCCTCTGTGGAGTCCCAGAAACGCATCAAGGAGGTGATATTTATAAGATTGTTGTTGGTGGCAGGCCTCAGACTGATGAAGTCCTTCGGATGAAAGAGGAAACATTTCTCCTAAAAAGAACCTGTCCAGATGAGCTGATTTAACCTTTTATTTGTGATTTCTCTACCGCGATGATTGAGCTTTCAAACCTTAGTCTATTTAAGAGACTGAGCTGAAAACAGCACCTCAGACTGAGGAAGTCTCTCGGATTAGAGACGAAACGTTTCTACAGTTTTTTGCTTTTTGTTTTTTTGAATGTCCAGAGGACCAGCTTGAACTTTTTTGGAAACCTTAGTCTTGTTGCAATGTCTTTAAAAAACAAAAAATCTCTGGATTGCTGTGGAGCTGCTTTTTAAAATAACGCTCTTCCACTTGCAGCAGGTTGTTTTGTTTTTCCTCGTGCAGCGTCAAGAAAACGTCCGTAAAGTTGATTCAAACTCCTGGCGTCAGCGTGCACGAGGTTCTGCTACGGTTCAGTAACCGTTTCGTTACAAGTGGCGGTTTTCGCAGTGACTGGTTCAGCTTCAGCGGAGGGCTGCGCCAAAAACAAAAAGGCGGCAATCACCATGGCAACCAGTGACTGCAGCGTCCGTTTGTAAACTCTGACCTGCCACGTGTTTTTGACCAGCAGAGTCGAACAGAATGACTTGTTCAGTGTTTT